TTCTCTCTCTCTCTCTCTCTCTCTCTCTCTCTCTCTCTCTCTCTCTCCCTCTCATTAGTGGTGAAGATAGTAGAATCCCAACACCACCACAACAACAACAACAGTAATAGTGTTGAAATCATATTATCTCATTGTTCTACTGTCTTTAACATAAAAATTGAGCATTAAACATTGAGATGGAGGAGAATTCCATCCTAAAACAATTCCTTGATCTGATCACACAATCAATGGGAAATCATCACTGAATATACGATGTATTATAATAGTATTCTTGTTGATGCCTCCAAATTAAAATAAAGAGATCCATCCACAATGAATTATAATAATTAATAGATCAGCAAACATAAGTTACATCAACACACTCTCCACATAAATAAAATATTTACTTTTTTCTTTTCAAAGTAAGTGAATTTGATCCTATGATCTTACTATAATTTTTATCAGTTAAATTAATCAACATATTTTAAATTTATCGGATAAGAGTTTGAATCCTAATCATTGATAACTAAGTTAGATATATCATCATCATCATCATCATCAAATCAATATTTTAGATATAAACAAATATTATGGATGGTTAGAAATGGGAGAAAAACTAAAATCAATCTATTTACCTAAAGATGTCATCACTTTTATGTCATTGGTGGCTTTGGAGCTAAATTTGATTCAAACTTGGCCCACATTAAGAGATTTGGTGTTGCTTGAGATGCAATTTGCTCCTAACATGATATTAGACTTGAGTTAAACTCCGAATATCCATCTACTGTATGCTCACTCTCTTTTACAATCCATCATTCTTTAATCATTAGATATTAAGAAAATATTATCTGTAATGAAAAATATTAGATAATATTTTTATTGTAATTTTATTGATGTGATAGATATATCTATTGGTTGACTCTTTATTATTTGACATGTTTGTGGTATGTAATGGTAAGATGAATGAATATTCCCATATCAAAAGTATGATCATATTAATATGTTTTTAAGAACATATCATAACTTGGGTAATAGTAAGATTAAGTTTAGTATCACAACCCCAATAATTTTCTCTTTTTGACAGGTATCTCTTGATTCATCCTGTAATGACAAAAGCATATGAAGCCACTCGAATCAATTAGGTTAGCAAATGGAACTTAGCACCTAAGAACTAGCAAATTAACCATGGCTCAACTTAAAGCAAAGTGATGTGCAATCGTATTATGTTTCTCTATTATTATCTTTCCATGGAATTCTGTAACTGTTGTATTTGCATTCCATAGTGTCTTCTCCCACTGTTTCTTTCAACTGTATGTATTGTATTATCTGCTGAATCTATCTAACCAAATCGGTTGGTCATGTATGTTTGTACAATCAAATCATGTAATTTTTGGATCAAAGAATGACCTTTGATTTATGATCAAAGAATGACCTTTGTACAATCCATTTTGATGAAAATAAAGCTTCTAATTATGTTCCATTTTCTGCTGTAGATCATTATGTATCACCAACTCAGGGCTTGACCAAGTTACTATGTGTTCTATTATCATTGTTCATCTTGATGCTAGTAAATCTAATTTGCAAAAGTCTCTCTTTTCAATGGTCATTCAACATTTTTATGCACAATTATTAGAAAATTTGTTTTTTATGCAAAGTTCTCTCTGCATATGTTTGATGTTCTCTTTATGTGGAGCCTTTGATGAAAGGAGGAGTCTCATCCACATTTCTTGGACCTTTTATTCCACAAAATGTATACTTCTTCCACTCACAAATGTTGATGCCATGAATGGGATGTCAATGGAAAGAAGAAAGTTGTTTTTGTTTGATTGTGCAGTACAACTTGTTCTTAGTGCTACCTCATTAAGCCATTCTCAAAACTTGAAAGGAATCATCACCACATATGTATATCAATAGAATCTTGGGCCCTGTCTTCTCCTTTCTCCGTTAGAGCAAACCTTTATGGACTTGATCTCATTTTAGTTGACCAAGACATGAGTAGACTAGTCCACTGATAAAGCTTTCCTGCAATCACTGTCAGTTCCCCAACACAGGAATGAGGAAGCTCAAACAAGAAGAAGCCAAGAAGTTGTCCCAAGTTTCCATTCCATTACATAAAAATACTTAGGAATGCAACTCTTCTTCCACATCAACTTTACATAAACTCAGCATCACACTAACACTTAGCAAAGGATGAGTCTGCCCTCAGCTCCTTGCATCTCATACTGTTAGTACTAGAAGAGGGATAGAGTGAGAGGAACCAAAGGCCTACACCTCAATAATGGTGTGGCATGGGCTGCTCATGACTTGCCTCTCTGCCATGGCCATCATCAGCTTCCTTTCCTTGATCGCAGGATCCTCCAAAACCAGCACCTTGTCCTTGTCCCTCACGCCCACCATGTGGAGATGATCACCATCCTCTCGCTCCTTGCCCTTGAACAGTAGCCTCTGCTCCCTTGGCTCCAGCCCTGTCACCATGCCCACAACTATCTTCAACTCCCCTGCAGCACCACAGAAGAATTCAGATCCAAACACAAGTAAACATGAACAGATGAAACCTAACCGGCTCACCAAATGTGGCAGTGGCTCCAATAGATATCTCATGCCAACTTGACCCGGTAGAGATTCTCACTGTGATCACCTCATCAGCTCCCTCACCACATTCTCTCTTCTGAACCAGCATGCCTCCTGGCCGCAGCTCCCACTGGATGTCACCGTTCCTGCTGCACCCACCATTGCCGCCACTGGCCTTGGAAGAACTCCTCTTGAAGAGCTTCTTTGATCTCAACCTGATCATTCTTCCTTGCCTCTGCCCTCTCTCTCTCTCTCTCGGTCTCTGTGTGAATGCACAACTTAGGAGACTCGGAGGAGTAGATATAGAGAGAGAGAGAGAGAGAGAGAGAGATCTTGGACAAGCTTTGCAAGCGTGCGTCAGGATAAAGAGGTCATTGATGGAGAAGAGGTTCTTTATGTCTTAAGAAACGAGAAAGTGTTGGGTGTGATGAGCTTCTTTACAAAGGTTCTTTGGTAGACCTGAAAAGAGAAGAGAACTTTAGCTGCTTTTGGTGGGCTTGTTTGCTAAAGGGGGAGATGAGCTCTGTAGATGTTTGATTAGAGTGGTGGTGTGTGGCGAGACTTAGGGAAGGTGAGTGCAGCACATGGAGTCTGCAAACCTGCTTTTGCTTGATTGAAGGGCTAATAATATAATGGTGATGGTTGGTGAGGATGGACAGCATCTGAAGAAGAAATCTTTGGGTTTGATGCTGGAGTTGCCTTTTAGGAGAAAGGATTTTTCTTCTTCTTCTTCTTCTTTCTTTAAAGCCTAAGGCTTTGGTACTGTAGCTTGCAAGACAGTATGATGTAACATTATATACAAATCAAGAAAATACAGGAGAATTATTCTTTTAGATTTATAAGAAAAAACTTCACATTTTAGAATATAGTATTGGAGACTTGTACACTTTCATCTATAATCAATATGTCAATAGAAATATAAATAATATACATATGTTATCTCCACTTAATGATATGATTTGTGATGTCTATATTTTCAAAACTGAAAGTATTGAAAAGAAATATATTTTAGAGTTTTAATCTTTCTAATAAATTTAAAAAAAAATTAAAAATTTTAAAAAATTTTAATTATTTTTTAGTGAACTAATGATAAAGATGATATTTGATCTCAGACTCTTATTATCCATGTATTATCATAAAAAAAAATCATCTCTTATCGTAAAGATAAATGGATCGGATACACCATCGTAAATCTGATTAAATATTTTGGATCGAATCGATATAAAAAATAATATTATTTTGAAAATTAAAGAAAGAGGGACATGTGAAATGTATTGGTGTAACATACAAATTGAATGCAACTGAATTGGACTTCAATTGAATTGGAAGCATCAATCATTGGATGACCTTTCATTAACATAACTAGGGTTATAGGTTCTCATCATGGTCTTTTGTGCCTGGTTATAATGAATGCGTGAACTTGAAGAAGGTTAGAGAGGAGAACATGGATTTCAGATCAACATAGTATAGTAGCAATTTAGATAGTGTGTGAGGTGGGTTGAGATTCCATTGGCATGTGCAAGAAGGGCCAAAGCTTGAAGGAGCTGAGGAAGAGGACAGAGATTGATGTAAATGTTTTTTGTGACATGACACTACTATATCATCATTAAACAAAAAAGCACTCAAGAGAAACTTTAATGACAAGCTATCATTTATAATTCCATTCTACATTGCTATTTTTTCTTTTTTAATATCATTTTCATTTCTACTACATAAGACATCATTTCAAGTTTAACCCTTTTTTATTTTTATTTTTATTTTAAATAAGACAATGCAATATTTATGATAGAATCATGAGTTTAAGAAAATATTTAAATATAAATAGTTATGCAATATTAAATTAATTATATATATATATAATCGTTAAACATTTTAATATGATTTAAGCAGTTCAATAAGCATATATATGTGTATTAGAAAAAGAAAATCCAACTAATTTCCAAGCTTAAAATCTGATTAATTATATTTCCCAAAGTGTGTGTGTGTGTGTCCATTCCACTGCTTGCATTGGCCGAGTCATGGTCGGATCGAACTCGGATCCATGGCTCATTGGATTCCAGCCCCAAACTCCGAACCCGCAGCTTTCTCCTCCAGTCACAGTAAAGGGGTGTGGGCCTGCTTTGGGCCCCGACACTGTTTCGACTCTCACCGCACCAGATTGCAGAAAACTCCCCAGATTATACTTATTTACCGTAGAGAGTCCATCATCTTAACTCTTTTGGCTTGGGCATTCTTACATGGGAGTACGATTAGCATTTTATTAAAGTAACGTACCAGTTTGTAATTTTACATGTCCGTTGTTGCACAATAGCCATTAGTTGAGGGACTTTTATATAAATCATTTAAAATTTATGTGGGTCCCACTGTTTGGAACTACTCTGAGAGAGCCACGTCATCAATAGACTTGTCGTGGAGGAACGCTTGGGTACGCGAAGTCTTTATCTTCGCCAACCCTAACGGCATCCGCGATCGAGCGCTTCACTCTGCGGGAGAGAGAACGCCGACCACCTCCGCCGCATTCTCTGAAGGGGAGGAGGTAGAAGGAGAGAGAGGAGGAGGAGGAGGAGAGGGGAGATGGCGCTGGCGTTCGACGAGTACGGGCGGCCCTTCATCATCATAAAGGAGCAGGGGCAGAAGGCACGGCTGCGGGGGCTCGACGCGCAGAAGGCCAACATCTCCGCGGGGAAGGCGGTGGCTCGGATTCTTCGCACCTCCCTCGGCCCTAAGGGCATGGACAAGATGCTCCAGAGTCCAGACGGGGACGTCGTCATCAGTCAGTCTTCTTTTTCTCCTTCTTGACTATGCTTCGATCTTGTTTCTTCCTTGCTATTGTTGGAGATTACTAGTAAAGCGTATTCTTTGTGCTGATTCTTGTTTGACGGGCTTCCGTGGCAATGAGAGGGAGGTGGAGTCATCTGTTTTGCTTGTTGGGATTTTTGCCTCGAGCTAGGGTTTTTGAACTTTGGGGTGTAGGAAAGGCGTGTTTTTGTTCATCAGTAACTGGTAATTTTTTGGTAAGGTGGTGCTTTTTTGAATCATAGTTGTCTAGGGTTCAAGGCTCGCTAATAAAGTGGGAAAGACGAACGGTTTGGATCGTAATAAATGAGTATTGAAGTTTGTTTGAGTTGGGAGAAACGCTTATGGTAGTAGTCTTCAGTACTTGTGTCTGGTTTGTTCAGGAAATCGTTAGGAAATACAAAAAGAGAGAGATGGAACTCTGGTACTTCACTTGAGAGCCAATGAAGGTTGTTCTTTACATTTTTTTAATGTAAATGTAAACTTTTAGTAGGTAGTGAAATTGAAAGTAAAATTATAGCACCCTGACATTGTGCAATGATCTACTTTTCATTCACCCACAATAATATGTTGTAACAAATTTGAACGCATCTTCCATGTTGAACTTCAGAATTCACATGTGTAAGAATTTTGGTAATTGTAACATGTAGGGGATGCATGATGTCTGTTAGATAGCATGTGCATTTTATTTATGGTTCGAGGTGCTGCTCCTGTGTTGTACATACCAAGCAGTAGGACACAGGGGAATGCTGCTAATTGGTAACGTGGTACTAGCATGAATCCATGTGAATTCATCTTATGTCATGGTAAGGCACATGCAATTTTGTGTTATATAACATGTACCATGTGTCATGGCGATGACCATATAGCACAGGGTAAGGTGCTGACACCTTGAACAATGAACTTTGGTTATAATTCAGGTGCAAAATGGTTTAGATATTAGACTAAAGCTCTTCACAGATAGTTGGTTATCGATTGGTTACTTTTAACCTGAAACTAGAAGTTGTTACATGGACACTCTGTCTACTTTAGGGCACTGAAAAGTTGACTATGATTGTGTTTTCATGGTTTAGGAAATTTTCATTTATAGGGTCATTTTTAGTAGGCAGTCGAGCTCTCCCTCCCTTAAACTTTTGCATTTGCTGATTATTATTCCTGTATGGTGGCAGCAAACGATGGGGCAACAATCCTGGAGCAGATGGATGTTGACAATCAGATTGCAAAGCTAATGGTGGAACTATCCCGTAGTCAGGACTATGAAATTGGTGATGGTACAACCGGAGTTGTTGTTTTGGCTGGTGCGCTTCTTGAGCAGGCTGAGAAGCTATTGGAACGTGGTATTCATCCTATTAGAATCTCTGAGGGATATGAAATGGCCTCTAAGTTATCTGTGGAGCATCTTGAGAGTATATCACAGAAGTTTGAATTTAGTGTTACCAATATAGAGCCTTTGGTGCAAACTTGCATGACAACTTTATCTTCAAAAATGTAAGTTTAATTTACCTTTATTCAGTCTATTGATCTATCATCTTCCTTACTTTTCTTCTATTTTTCTGAATTTGTTTACCTCCAGTAAACAACTCATCATGGTCATGTTGCAGTGTCAATCGTTGCAAGCGTGCACTAGCTGAGATTGCTGTTAAGGCAGTTCTTGCAGTTGCTGATTTAGAGAGGAAAGATGTTAATTTGGAACTAATCAAGGTTGAAGGAAAGGTCGGAGGAAAATTGGAAGATACAGAGCTCATATATGGAATTCTTGTTGACAAGGACATGAGCCATCCACAAATGCCAAAACGAATCGAGGATGCAAATATTGCTATCCTGACATGCCCATTTGAGCCACCCAAGCCAAAGACAAAGCATAAGATTGACATTGACACTGTTGAGAAATTTCAAACTTTACGCCAGCAGGAGCAGAATTACTTTGATGATATGGTCCAAAAATGCAAGGTACATACGTCAAATGTTGTGTGGATTTTCGTCTTATCAACAAGTTACTTCTTGCAAAAAAAAAAACAGTTCTTGCATGTGGGCCTGTTTGCTGTAACATTTTGGATATTAGGCTTTTCACGAACCGTAGAGAGTTTGTTGTATGTAAATATTTGCAATTCAGTCAATTAAAACTTAATTGCTTATCATCTAGAGTCAATTTTTAGTGAATTTTAATTTTAATTTGATTTATCTCTTTAATTTGAATTGATCTAATTTTGTTAAGTTCTAAGTTTTCAGTTTTATATTTTCTCTGCTATCATCTAATATGTAAGATGCAATTTGGCGATATATTGTCATATGACAAACAAGTGAATTTTTATTTCAAATGAATTCTGGGTTCTGTTTTTGACTGTTATAGGATGTTGGTGCAACCCTTGTTATCTGTCAATGGGGTTTTGATGATGAAGCCAACCATTTATTAATGCATCGGAATTTGCCTGCTGTTAGATGGGTTGGTGGTGTTGAATTGGAATTGATTGCTATAGCTACAGGTTTGTATTTTGTATTAGTTCACTAGAAATAATGAGGCAACAAAGAAAACTTATCATAGGTTGACTGTCTTTTCTATTCACACAGGTGGGAGGATAGTTCCAAGGTTCCAGGAGTTGACAACTGAAAAGCTGGGAAAGGTAGGATTTACTTGGGATTCTCTCATATAAGTTTTATAATTGGGATATCTGAGCATT